TTTCTCATTGCAGATGAATGTTCGTTTGGTGCTTTATTCAAATGCGTACTGTTTATAAACCCTACATGTAACCTTTACTTGTTGCATGTTCTACTCTGCTAACCATAGATTTACAATTAACGCCTTTGAATGGATAGTGTTAAATGATTTACCGTTGGACCATCAGTGTAGTTTGAGTAAATGTTCACCTTATAACAGGACTTAACCATGCCTCTGGGAAAATTACGCAATCATTCCATTAAGCAGTATAGCCATTCAATAAAAAAAGAGCGCCATGCAAAATGTGTGCTTAAAAATTGTTACAAGGTTGCCTCTGTTGCGCATACCCCCCTCCTCAAGCCATGTTACATAATAAAAATAAATTTTGTAAATCGTAATGAATTTAAAACAATCTGCATTACAATGCACATATGCATTATGTAAATAAGGGGATTTTCGGTGGAAGGAAAAAGATTTCTTTTCACTTTTATCCTTAAAACCCTTTTATATTTTTAAACCTCGTATCAGACAGCAAGAACGCTTAATTTGTTTGTAGGAAACAGGCCTGTAGGAAGCAATTTCACTTGGGGGGGGGGGGGGGGGGTGGAGGGATCGAGGCACAACCATACATTTTCAGTTGGCGGGGAGGGGGGGGGCACTATCAACAACCAAAAATTACTTAGACAATCAAAAAAGAAAAACAAGGAAAAAATAAAAATAAAAAAAAAGGTCACCATACGATATTATTGCGGGGGCAGGGCACAGGCATATACATGTAGTACATGTACCTATGTTTTCTATAGTATTCTATACATCGTGCCCCCGGTTCCTACGGCCATGGAAAAGACGTACATGTCCAGATAGGAATTTTTTCCTATAGGCTACTAGTAAATTTAAAGAGTGGGTTACAACCCCGTAACCCCCTCCCCTCAAAACTCATCACTATTGATACGCTCATAGGAATCTCGCATGGTACTTGATTCTATCACAATTTTGTACAGTTCTATATTTTTTGCACATGCGACTTCAAATGTGCTAATATTGCCAATCATACTCATGAAAAAATTATGTAAATTAGTCTGAGAAGATTTTTTTCATAATGCAACATATGGTATATGGTTTTTTTTCTATTGGTAAAATTTTTTACATGTAATTAGAAAGGAGAAAGAGGATACTACCGTGTATAGACTTATGTCAATTCTTGGTATGTCAAACACCTCTATTTTTTAAGCTATCAAATTTTTTATGTAAAAAGCCTCATTTTGTTAAAGACTTTCTTGACACGAGCAAAAGACATTGGTAAAGATTTTGAGCTAATCACTTTTTTGTGCCCCTGACATCGAAGATCAGAGGCATATTGATTTAGTTCTGTGTGTTATTTTTTCACAAATGTAATCGTCCCTATATTTTTATGAGAAGAAGTTTGAGCCTTTATTCATAGAAAATCATAGATATTTACGAGATCGAATTTTCTTATCAATCTTCTATATTTTTCTCACTCAAATTTATTTGGGTAGGGTTCCAAAACGTTAACTTCTTAAAAAGAAGATTATATTTTTATTTGTTGCATATTATTTTCCCAGAGTAAAATCAAAGAGGATAACAATTATGGAAGCTATACAAATAGGGTTTTTTTATGTTTCTCTTTCTTACACCAAATAAGAAAATGATCAAGAATGTACGCACATGTATTCTTGCTCTAATAGTGATAGAACATTATTATAATGGAGATAAAACATCTTGTATTATTAAAGTATAGTATAGTATATAACCTTTTAATTTTGGCATTTTAACTTTAAAGCTTTTAGAAATGAACACATAAGGCTGCATGGTTAAACCCCTATGCATTTGCCTAACAAGAATTTTCCTACCAAAACCATGCATTTTTAAGACCATAATTTCTACAAAAAAAAGTGGGTCAAATTTCGACCTAGAAAAATGATCCCCGGTCAATATTCTACGGGGAGTCACTTTACGTCGTTACAACGGCAATATTAAATATCCGTTGTACGATTTTAAAATTTAATTCGTTTGTGCATTTTTAAAAACAAATGTACATGTATGGTGATACATTTATATTCTAGCTGCTTTGATTTTGATCTTATTTAATCATTTCATTTTTGAAACAATGATCTTTATGTCATGTTCTAAATTTTGAATTTACCGGGTGGGAGTAGATTCCAAATTTAGAACATGACAGTTGTCATGTTCTAAATTTTGTAATAATCCCACCATGCAGGTAAATTCAAAATTTAGAATATGATATTTATTTGGTATCTTATCTTCACCAGTCTGGTCCGCAGGAAAAGTTTTGAACGTGGTCCTCTAAATTTCTAATTTTGAATTTCAATGTTCATATCAATATCTAAACTTTCTTAAAATACATGTAACTGGTAGTCGTGTGAGAATTACATATCAATTTGCATATCAGTGTATTTCCTTTTTCTAAATTCTCCTCATCCTCATATAGTAGCCTGTGGCACATCTTTAAAGAAATCTCTTTTCGATTTTCTTTATAATTTCTTATATTATGTTAAACTTTAGATTCAGGTTTCTTTTTTTTTCTTATAAACACTTATTTCCCAGAAACTGTAACGTTAATGCTGAATATAATACATAGGGACAGTTTCCAGGGATAGAGCTCTGATTTGCCTCCCTCTAAAAATAACAAATATACATGCATAAGTGTTTTGTCCTTTTTAGTAGTAGTTAGGAGAACAAGGAGGCAAAAATAAAATTCAGTATAGACGGAGGTTTCTTCACTTTTCATTTTCTAAATCGTAAAAAAAAAAATCATTTTCTAAATCGTACAAACGAATTTAAAATATCGTTCAAACAAAATTTCTTCAATTGTACAAATAATTTTCTTAATCGTGCAATTTTAGAAATGCTACAAACTATTTTCTATAACATCTTACAAACGATATTCTAAATTGTACAAATTTTAACGAAGTGGCAATATTCGGATAAACAATTTTAAAAATCGTATTACCAAGGAGTTTTGAAAGTGCACAAACGATTTTTTTTTAAATCATACAAACAAGATTATAAGTTCTACTAACGATTTTTTTTTCCTTTATCGTACATAACGATTTTTAAAATCGTGCAAATTATTTTTTTTAATCGTACAAGCCAATTTCTGTATCGTACAAACTTAAAATTGAGTGAAGTGGAACTATATTTTAATGCTTAAAATTACAGTTATTCTTTACATTCCTATATGTGAGTATTTTTTTCAACCACAGTGTGTTCAAAGTTTTAAGGAAAAGGTCATCAGGCTTATAACTTAGTGTTTCAATCTTTTATCCTTATTATTATTATTGTAGAGGTCTTTGTAGCATGATATTCAGATAAGTATAAAAAAAAAATGTTTTGTTTTTTTTTAAATTAACAATCAGGTTTCCAATCCTTTTTTTATAGGTCATTTGTTTCCTGGTGGTCATGAAAATCGATTCATATCCTATTGAAATTGCACTGATAAAAAGAACACTCCCGGAAAGTAAGATTGTTTATAATTTTTTTAGATAAATTCTGTTCCTTGAAATAAAAAAAAAAACATGTTTAAAAAACATGCTTCAGATGCAGCATATTATGATTTTTGATTGCATTGATATGGATTAAATATCAACGCGCTCTATCAATGGATATATGTTTGGTCCAGGAATCAGTTTTAAAACTTACGAAACATGTTTAACCAAAATCTACCTGGTTAAAGTATACTGCAACAAGAAGATAGTAAAATGTGATTGGCAAAAAGTAGGGAGCGGGGGGGGGGGGGGGGGGGCGCCTACTCCCTACTATGTGCCTGTGTGAAGAATTAATCTTGACGTAATTTATGGGGTTTTTTTTTTCGTTTTTTAGGAAAATATATGGGATTGAAATTTTTCAGAAGAGAATCTGTAGCTATAGTACCTCTGCGACATCGAGGATCAGGAGAATATGCAGCAGGAAGAGAAAGAAGATAGAGAGGGGATTCACTACTACTCTACTGGTGGTGTTAGTTATAGCGGGAGAATATGCAGCAGGAAGAGAAAGAAGATAGAGAGGGGATTCACTACTACTCTACTGGTGGTGTTAGTTATAGCGGGAGAATCTGCAGCAGGGAGAACAAGAAGATAAAGAGGGGATTCACTACTACTACTGGTGGTGTTAGTTAGTGATTTCTTGTCAGATACTCTGTAAGAAGCAAAATAAAATGTTGTCCTCTTTTATTCTTTTTTTTAAAATTTATATTAGGGATGGCAACTGAATATAGAATAGCCAATCGGTTAACCGTAAGACTTTACTACAAAAAGTGGAGGGGGGGGGGGGCAACGGGCCTTTCACTTAATGGACATTTTCATGCTAAATTTACGGGAAAACATTTCATTTGAAAAAATTGGGAACAAGCCCCTCCCCTCCCTAGGCCATACTACGTGCCTCACTCACTCACTATTCTTGCCATGCTTAAATACAGCATGATTGTTTTCAATATTTGTCAGGTACCTCAAAATAATAATTAACAAACACCGACGTCTTATAATAGATGAAGAAGATATTTTAATATTTTCATCCCCCGTGTTCTCTGAGTCCCTACTTTTTTCAACAAGTGGGGGATATTAAGTTATAATTAATAAATTTGTTTCCCAACTTTTTCGACTTTTTTTTTTTGAATGCATTATTAACTTGGTCGATTTTGACTATGCTACAGAAAACTGGGGGCAACCAGCCTTTCGATTATCATTTCATACTAAATTACATGTAACAGTAAAACATGATGCTTGCAAAAAAAAAAAAAAAAAAAAAAAAAGTGCCATACCGCGGATAGCTACATGTAGCAGACCCCCCCCCCCCCCCATTCCGATACTTCGTTGGGACAAAACCTGAAAGGTCAGTTTCGATCTCTTTTTCTTTCTTCATCTTTTCCAAGTCTACTTTTTTATTTTAGTCGGGGAACACAAATTCCCTGACATTGCACCATCCACAAGTTGGATCTTTTTTAACATCGGGATCGTTGTTCTGGAAAAAAACAGAACGTGCTACTTCCGGGCTAACGCTAAGAAGTATGTCACAAAGCAAATTTGCCCAAAAAGAGTTGAAAAAATTTGGCTGGAAGGAAGGTATTTCCTTTTTCTACTTTGTAAATTTTGTTTCTTTTTTCATTTTAATATCACACACAAACATTTCTATTTCCCCGAATTAAAACGCTTACACTGTAAGTTACAGTCTCAACATAATATGTTAGAAGGTGTGACCGTTGGTGAGGGCGGAGCCATCAAGTGAACATTTCTACATTTTATTGTAGTTAGTGTCAGAAAATCATAACAAAGACCTCAGTCTTTTTTTATTTTTTTTTTAAAAAAAAAGAAGCTGTAAGTTCTCTTACCTCAAATATTTTTCATTTCAAATAAAGAAATTTAAGGGTATTTAGTTTTATAAATCTGGAATACTTTTTCTAAGATATTTCAACATGAATTGCCTAGCCAGAGCACTCAAAATCAAGTAGCATAACGGGGAAAGAGTGTGCACTGGACCAGTCAAGGATTCAACCTACCAAAGCCCAAGAACTCTTAAACGTTAACTCTTTCACCTATGTAGCTGCCCAATAAATAATAAACGAATATGCCTGAGCAACATTTCTTTATCTTTTACGACTTGATTTAAAAACCCCAATCCAGAAAAATCAAGTAATTTAATTCTCATCTTTTACTTCCAATGCATGGTCATGACATCAAATACAAATAAGGACAACTTATTGTCAGGGACTACATCGGAAGTCGAACTTGGGACCCAAACTACAGAAAGATGATCTGACTCCTGGGTTATCAGGACACTTGGAAACTGATCATCTGACCAACACTAGGGCTGTGTATCGTGAGGGCTAAATGTATCAGCATCGCAAAATTTCTGAGAATTATTTTCTTAATTTTAATGGAAAAAATGTAGAGTAAATTTAATGTTTCTGCATTTTTAAAAAAAACTAATCTGATTCGAATATTGTTTAGTGCTTTCTAAAACTAACATAAAAGCAAGATAAAAATCTTTTCTGGAAAAAAAATATTAACTCAATAAAAGGATTTTTTCTTACAGATATTAAATTGTTTATGCGAAAACTATTAGATATTTAACTATTAGAATTTTAAAATCGAAACTTGTGAATAATAAGGTACATTTCTGGGAAGTATCGATGTTTTGTGACATCCCTATTCACCACGTAATTAATAAAAAGGATCATATATGGAAGATTAAAGAAAAAGATATTTTAGTACTATTCAACAACATTGACCTCTTTATGGATCACCATGGGTAATGTCAAATGAAGATTCTGTATTTGTGAGGGTTAACGTTTTTTTAAGCCAAGAGAACATTAAACTTTATTAATATACATGTCATGTGTTGCAGTCCTTCAATGTATTGTTTAACTTAGTTTTTCTCATATGATTTTGGACTTTATACACTATCATAACCCACCATAGGTTCCAACTGGCTGAATAAATTTTCTGTTCTATATTTTTATTAAAAGTACTTTTTAAAATAAAAATTAGAAATCAATTTCTTTTATCATTTAAAGCGTATCCATAAATGGAACAATGTGTTTGATGTGGTAGTTTAAGCTTCAGACATGTCCAAAGATTCTTCTTTTGATGGTGAGCTTCACGAAATTAAATTTTGACACTTAAAAAAATGATAAAACTTTTGAGAAAAAAAATTCACAACAACAAATATGAGACACAGACCTCCACCTGCAAATGTATATAGGATCAAGCAGGTAATCAAAGACAAGAATGAATGAATGAATTAATTAATAAATTAAAAATTAAAAAAAATTGAAATGCATACCCCTTCCCCCTTCTTGAGTTCATACCAGAATTCAGTAAAGCTTTTCATGCAATATTTTACCACTGAAACATTTTTAAAATGTATTATTCAAGAGGAAAATTATACCAAGTCACAAAAAAAATCTTATACTTCTAGTTTGTGTATTTAAAATAATCCTGAAGACATTCGTAATTAATAAATTTTATTAACAAATAAATTAGAGTTGTTTCTTTTCCCTAAAGTCTGGTGGAAGGGGCCACAGAAAGATCCGCCCCTCCATAGTACGTAGTACGCAGTCTAGACAGTGACGTCACTGGAATTCGTTAAACTGTTTTTTGTTTCACCAAAAACATATTAAGGTTTATTAAAAGGCGAATAAATTTGTTTTTAAAAAGAAAGTATGCATATGAAATATCAATTATTGCAGGTTGTTAAAAATTCAACAGTCTCCGCTGATTCATGCAGTCAATGAATGACGTCACATGTCAGGTCTATGACGATTCGAGTGCAAGTTAGGCTAGGCCTAGATGAAAACAAAAGTAACAAGGATGTGTACTATAAGGGTGTTTTTGATTATTAGAATTTTTAAAACTTCATTCACGCAGGATTGGAATTAAAATTACGATTCTTCAGCATCTCGTTTATGCGGGAATTTGTCGCGAGATTCAAGATGGAAAAGACTATGGACGCCATATTGGCGACAAGGTTCTCAGTTCCATAGGTATTGTAATAAAAATATAGTTTACAATAGAATTCAATATATTTTACATACATACGTGTTACCTATAGGGAGAGCTTCACTCTCACGGGCCCTTCGGGCCCGTGAGAGGGCTCCGCCCTCTATCAATACATACATGATCATGATGACGAACAGGGGTGAAAGCGTAGGCACTCTATCTTAATCAGTTGGTAAATTAAAATATATATATATTTTCTATCTATGCATTACTGTATATGAAGTTTAGAAAATATATAATTTTTTTATCTACTTGGTGAGATGATGGCAGTTGTGGGAACTGGGAATTTAACAATTTTTGTTTAAAATTGAAATTGCAATACTACTCTTATGATCATGATGATGTGTTTATATGTACAAGTAATTCATTAATATGTCCGATGGTGAAACTGTTAGGGCGAGCGCAGTTTCATTTTTGTACAACTCTATATACCTCTTAATGTCGTTTTGCATTCTGCTTATGGCATTACACTTTAAATTGATAGCTTTAACTCCTTTACCAGTCTAGACAAACTCCAAAAACAGCGTTTCTGGAAGTAAGAAATGGAGACTGAAAAAGACTCCGAAAAAAACGTCCGCGCATGCGCACACAAACAAAAAATGGTTATTTTTCGGCAAAAATGAGGGGTCTACAAAAACTGTCCGTGCAAAGTTTTGGAAGGTATGGCAATTATGCCAGTCCTCAGAAATGCTAAATAAAAGACTTCGGAAGAGATCGTATTTGTCAGATTTACTAATATGCAAGAGTATGAAGCGATAAATAAGTAAATATCCATAAAATAATTTAATAAATTTAATTATCCATTCAACAAAAATTAAAATAAAGTCACAATACACTAAATATAGCCATTATGCAGGCCTATATTTGAAGAAAGCGAACGACAATCCATCGTTTGTTTACATCGGACGCCATTTTGCCGCAGTGCATGATGGAGCCAAAGACTTTGTTTTCGGAGTTCACGCCGTTTTTGGAGTTCGTCTAGACTGTTTACAACATATTGTACATGTACATTTAAGTTAATCTATTTAAAAAGGATATTAATTATGACACAACAGAAATTATATTCTCTTAGGTTGCAGATTCTCCATGCATCAGGCTCGACATTCATAAGTTCTCATATTTTTCCAACAAAATTGGAAATACATATATAATGTACACAAGGTGTTTAAGTGACGAAAATATGATGTCACATACATGATACAAAGTTAGTTTACTGAGGATGCATAGTTTTGTGGTATGGAAATTGCATTAATTCTTTGTTTGTATTTTTTTTTTTCAAGTAAGATGTTATATGCTTTAGCCACCATGTTGCACCACAGGATTATCGGGAGCTTAGAATTTTTTCATAGAAATTTGTAGATTCCAACTCGAATTTCCTCTGTTTGTACACTTTGTCTATGGAGCTCGCTATGCTAGCGGCACTTTGTGTCGCTCGCTGCGCTCGCTATTAACTTAAAACTCTGTTTTTGTTTCTTCGGTTATAGGTTCAGGCCTGGGGAAGAATGAAAATGGAATGAAAGAGGCTATCAAGGTCAAGATAAAGAAGGACAGTCATGGGGTATATTTACTTAAGGCCATCTTTTTAAAAAAAAATTGTCTATTTGCCGTCTACTGACTGACTGAAATTCAGGGCTCTCACACCACTTTTTTGGACTGAGACCGGGACCATAAAAATTGGGGAAGTTATCAATCTTTTAGGGAATTTTGGGAAAATCATAAATTAAAATCATTGTACATTGGTGCATTGGTTGTCTGGTGTTTGTTACCAACTAAATTTCTGTTTTTCTGTATAGAGGAATATGAATAACAAGTTCTGTTATTATATATCTTACTAGTACAGGTGACTCTAGATGGCTCGAACTCCAATCTCTCAAAGTTCTCGATCTCTCGAAGTGAACCTCCAGTCCCTTTTTTTCTCTCTATATAACTAAGCAAATTTACTCCTGATCTCTCAAACTTCCTATCTCTTGAAGTTCTCTATCTCCGAACCAAGCCCTGGGTCCCGTTATACATATTTCATTGTTTTTTACTCTCTATCTCGAGAAGTTTTGTTTCCGCATGTATACACGCCAATCAAGTGTAAAACAATGCAGCTTGGACTTACCTGGATGACAGTTAACACCCGGGGGCTGGCATGGATGTGTTAATTGGATGCTTACATAGATATCTCTACACGTTTGAGTTTTCCGAGCGTTGATATAACTAATTGGTAAATTATAAACAAATAGCTTCACAACTTATTTTGACTTGACAGCGAGACGATAATTTTGAGAAAATAATGAGACGTGTCACTAATTTTCTATAAATTATGAAGTTTGATTAGAGTCTACACAATCCCAGTATGGCAATCATTGCACAAGAAATCATATCTCAAAAATTGAATACCAGCTACATGTACGAGCAATCTGGTGAAGGACCCGATCAAGCCCGCCCCGGGGGATAGCCACATCGACAATTGTTATTCAGGTTTCATGTAAACATGAAATGAGAACAAATAAATATTGAAAGTAAAGAAATCATTTTTATTTATTCAAAATACGATCATTGTTGTTGAAATCAAGTAAATTACTTGTCAAATACGAATGAAAACATGCAATGACATTATCAACATAAACTTCCGGTATCTGTAATAGAAGACAATGATGATCGGAACTGAAAATCCCGGATTTTATTCACTTTCTATCTCTCGAACCCCTCGATCTCGAGAACTTTTCTTACAGTCCCTTGAACTTCGAGAGATCGAGAGTTACCTGTATGTGTCTTAAAATTTTGAGGCAAAATGACTTTTGAGAAAATTAACACATTCAATAAGTATATGTAAGTCTGTTTTTGTTTCAGGAGTTGGATTCACATTTCACTGGTGGTACAGTGTGATTAACAAGTCTTTAATTTCATTTTCTTACTAGGTGGGGCACAACACTGGGGATGAATTCACATTTCACTGGTGGGACCATGTTTTTAACAAAGCTGCCAATAGCATTGAAGTGAATACCACAAAGGTAATGTAGAGAGGTTCTGTTTGACGTCTTTAACCTTTCCAAGTATTTATACAGATTTTCACTTATGTTTAAATTGTTTCCTGATCCCTTTGCAAGGACAGCAAATCCTGTAGACAAGATTGATTGTTTGTATGTTGTTTTACGTCCCGTTCGAGAATTTTTCACTCATATGGAGATGTCTCCATATACCGGTGAATTGCTTCAATTTAGACCTTTACTGGGCACTTAGGACCATTGAGCAGTGAGGGATCTTTATCATGCCAACTCCTACCGTAACACGGGGCCTCAGTTTTTAAGGTCTCATCTGAAGGACCCTGTAGACAAGAGATGAACAGGGATCAAGAGAGAATCATGGAATGATTGGACTGTGTAGCAGCCCCTCTTTCAGGGAACTTTTACATTATATATTGTATGAAATTGTGAATTTCTGGTTATGTAAATTCTGATAAAGGTAAAAGTAGATAACACTATAGATTGTAATGTTGTTTTACGTCTTATGTTGCTTATAATACTCTACTTTTTGAGTACTCTTGTTCTAGTCTTAAACAATCAGAATAATTTACCATGTTTTTTAATGTTAAATCAACCCACACATAGGAGTTTTGAAGCTAGTAGTGAATTTTAACAAATTTTGATTTTAGGAGGGAGTGTCTGTGAGGAAATCTAAAGACAGTGGAGGAGTGTCCACTAAGAAAGCCCGGACATTTGACAACAAGGCCATGCTGTACGGACAATTTGTCAAGGTACATGTGCAACAAGCACTTCATTTTAGGAGAGGAAGTTGCAAATGGGCTTAACTTACAGCCCAATTCCAATGAAAGTTATTTTATATACAGTGAAAAACTGTTTAATCTGACACTTGTGCAGTCTGTTTCACTGTGAATTCCAACCTTTATTTTCAGTCACATTTTACTATTTTCCATGTTCTGATACCCTGTCTTTTCCGACACAAAATTTGTCTCCCAATGCTTGTCGGTTTAGACAGGTTTCACTGTACATGTAAACTGAGTAAAATACAGTGTAGAATTTAAAAAAAAAAAGAAATGCTATTAAGTGTTTGTGCAGTGATTGCACTTTTTGAAATTTACAACGCAGACATACATGCAAGTGTGCACATACTTGTAATACTAAATTGAGTGAGAACATTTACTGCCTATTCTTTAAAAGCTTCAGTGTGACTGGCAGATGTACAGCTGAACTTCTGTGTCTTGAACACCAATATCTTGAATACCATGGATACCGGTATATCAAAGTGATTTGGAAGTCTCATCCACTTATTCCTTATGTATTTTACTGTAGATATCTCAAATCCTTGTATATCTCTCCCATTAAGTGTAGAAATAAAAGACAATTTTTCCTCAAATATGACATTAAATTGTACAAAATTTAAATGTAATGCCAAGCGGATTGATATGTTTTTGATGCAAGTCATTATGACACAGACAACACAGGTTATATGATGTAAACTACCCAAGTAATTTTTCAGCCGATCAAAATGTGTTTTACAACGAGAAATAAATTATTTAATAATGACTTGCTTTGTTTTTTACAACAGGGAGCAACATTGGACAACAATGAGGAAACCCATGTGGAAGACACAGCAGATAGAGAATATACAGAAGAGGACGAACAGTGCATACAAAAGTAAAAAAAAAATCATAATACAGTAGGAAAGATTTGGAGCAAACACAAAAAACAAATGTCTGTTTATCAAAAAGTTATACATGTATTTTGTCACTGATAAGTTAAAACTAATGAAATGTCAACTGGACAGCTAGATTAAGGATAAAATAAAATGTTTTTGGCTGTCCCAGACACTTTGCTATTCATATTTTTTTTTCATAATTCATAACATCCAGTCAACAACTCTCTTATTATTTTCTTGTCCTGAGTAAAAAAAAAAAAATGTATGAAAATTTTATTTATATATATATTTTTTACTCGGGCTTTTAAAGCATGAATATTATATCTGTTAGCTGTAAGTGAGTTTTACTGTATCATTTAAATTTATTGACATTGTAGATTAGCAGATGAAGAAATACTTAAGATTTGTGGGGGGATGACAGCACACAAGTAAGTTTTAGCTGTACCAGTTATCTTCCTTTTCACGTCTTCTTCAGTCCCTTTTGGAGGATATATTATAGCATTGGTTTTTGGGAGTGTGAGATTAGCTGCAAATGTGTGGCCATCCATCCCAAATTTATTTTAATAGAATAGTGTGTGATGCTTGGAGATGATTACCGGTATATGGGGCGGAGATGTTCTGTTGTTGTTCTGGATTCAAATTAATTTTACTTTTTCTGAATAAATTAACCAAATTTTTAAACAAGTAGCAACACGATACATAAAAAGTATAGAGCTTAACCTCTGACTCAAAATACGCATTTATGAAATGAAAGGACTGTTTCTGAAGATTATAAAACATGTCTTACTTTTTGGATTGATTGACTTAATTAAAGTTTGAAAGGGACATGGGTTCTTTGTCAGTTCATTGGCATATGGGCAGGGCCATTATATGCATAAAACCTAGCTCTTTCTTTATATAAATTTGCTCAGAACCAGACAAGTAGAAAGTGAATTTAGACAAGTATCATTTATTGGCAACTTGTCCAATGGACAAGTGAATATTTAATCTATGTAGAGCCTTGGCAGAAAAACATAACACATGGGTATAAAATATACGATCATAAATTTTATGGTAACAATTATGTCTTTATCACTAGTATTTTTTATAATATTGTCAAGTTAAAAGACCATTTCTGCCAAATTTTGCCTCAAAAAATATTAGTATGCTGGAGTGGTGCGCATTTTAACTATAAATGAGATTTCATCTGGAAAATCATCACAAAAGCAAAATTTTATATGAGTGAACAGAGGGATGATGAGCCTTAAATGACTCAGAGGGTCATTCTCCCTTAAAGCTTTATAATTCATTTCATTGCAGAGGAGCCAGACATGGATTGAAATTGAATGGGAAACTAGATCGAATTCAGGAGCAAGAGCAGCTTCTATTGGAGAAGTGGAAAAGTAAAAAAGGAAACAATAGTGATTTAGACCAATTGAAGTCTGTGTCTTATAATGCTGTGACAGTGAACTCTGTGAATAAACCTGAAGATTCAGAAAAATTGATATGTGAAAAATCCAGAAAGAAGAAAAAGAGGAAAAGGGAAAAAGACAATGCATTAGGACAGGGAGTTTTGAACATAGGAAAAAGTGAGTGTAATGAAAGTACCGAAAGTACTGAGAGGCAGATTTGTGAAGAAGTTAAAGAAAAGAAGAAAAAGAAAAGAAAGAGAAAAGTCCTAGAGTCAGAAAGTGAAAGTGTTGAACTAAGCTATGAAAAAGAAACACAAACTGAAGCAAAGAGGACAAAAACGAAAAAAAGTAGAAATTGACATATATAATTTGTTAATATCTGCACTCAATTTTGTTTATAATTTATGTATATTGTTAAGTATTCAACATATCTATTGAATAAATAAGTTAAAATTATTTATTTTTTGCTTTTATACTAATCGCAGATCTTTGGAGGAGAAATTAAATTAGATAGGTGGCCTTTTTGCTTTTCTCTCTAATGGAAACTATTTGCTGTACAGAAATTGAACAACTTGTGGAAAGGGAAATGGAATAATCTATATAATTAGTTCGTAATTAATTAGTTTGCTGTCCAGGTACCAGTATGTGATACATCTTATACTAAGAATGACAAAGACTTGCACAAATTTTAGTGAGACAACAATTTGCAGTTTGAGGCCAATAAATAAATTTCCAGGTCAGAGTGAAGGAGGGGGAGGGGTCTCCTTCACCACTTCTGCATTTCTTTTTGTGTTAAAGTGTCAGATTTTCAACCAGATGCACAAATGGCAAGTTTTACACAGTTAAAGTGAAATAAACTTTGTCACTAATGCCCGTTATGCAAATTATCCCACGTTTCCAACTATCGTTGATGCCCTGGCATACTCTACTAACTAGACAGTGATTCCTTATATTTCCATTCATTGTGAAATAAAATTGTATATTTAGATTTTAAAAATGTAGACTAATAGATTTAAATTACACGAGGCCTCCCATGTCAATTTCAGTAGTCCCCGCCCACTGACGTCAAACACAAAGCCGCACGAGATTTACAGGCATATTAGGCCTCCTTAGCGTCAGACACAAAGACAGACGCACGAGATTTGCATGCATATTAGGCCTCCTTAGCTCCTGAGCTATCACTTGGCGAAATTTACATTCTGGTAGAATGATCAAGAAATCAACTCAACTAACTTTCGAAGCGTTCTCACAGAGAAAACAAATAGAAATGGAAATATTTTTTAATTTCTAATATATAAAAAAAAGTTGCATTAAACAATGAGCAATATATACCTGGTTTAATCCTCCTCTCCAGGTGGATAAAACGTACTTAATTGTTCCTCAGCATTTTTTTTTAATGAACTTTTTTTTATTTTCTATTGTGGTAATAGGATATATAAAAGTTATGCTTT